GCCAAAGTCAGACGCTTAACCGACTGAGCCACCCAGGTGCCCCGCAAAATACAACATTTATCTATCTATCTATCTATCTATCTATCTATCTATCTATCTATCTATCTATCTATTTATTTGTTATTTAAACATTTATTCATTTTTTGAGAGACAGAGAAGAGAGCACAGCAGGGGAGGGGCAGAGAGAGGGGGAGACACAGAATCCGAAGCAGGCTCCAGGCTCTGAGCTGTAAGCTCAGAGCCCAATGTGGGGCTTGAACTCATGAAATGAGAGATCGTGACCTGAGCCGAGGTCGGACACTTAGCTGACTGAGCCACGCAGACGCCCTGCAAAATACAACATTTTAAAGTGATGAGGTTTCCGGGCACCTGGGTGGCTCAGTCGGTTGAGCATTCGACTCTTGGTTTTGGCTCAGGTCATGTTCTGATGGCTTCATGGGTTTGAGGCCTGCGTCAGGCTGTGTGCTGACAGCCTGCTTGGGATTCTCTCTCTCCCTCTCTGTCTCTGCCCCTCCCCCACGTGCACTGTCTCTGTCTCCCTCGAAATAAATAAATATAAATTTTATTAAAAAACAAATAAATAATAAAAGGGATGAGTTTTAAAAGAAACACCCAGAAATAGGAAATAGGTCCCACATTAGGAAACTTTGTTTTCTCAGTCTGCCTTTCCTCCTTTACCAAAGGTCTAGAACCCCACCCCCACCTTTGCTGGTCCTCACTGCTTGTGGAATAAAATATCAGCTGGTTAACAAGACATAGGAAGCTGAAACCGGCCTGTCTTTCCTATCCCTTTGCTCCCTCTCTCAGCTGCTGGGCAAGCTCATGCTCGTATCGGTCATCGGAGGTCAAGCGGGCCTGCACGCAGACCCAGATTCCACTACTTTTTATGTGGCCCAGACAAATGAATTAACCTCTGTGAGCCTACAGCTCCCCACAAGCATAAAATGGGGATGGACATTACTCAGTGTACCTTGCTAATTCTGTGAGGGTTACAGATTGTGTATTCGAACTAGAAGACAGGAAGTAGGTGATGGATACACCGTACTCACTGCAGCTATTTTAGGCTCCCCATTCAGGCACCAAATTATCTGAGGATGGTTCTCCACTCTCTGTCCCAGGACAGCGAAGCAAGACGTGGATGATGAGTACAGCATGCAGTACAGTGCCAGGGGCTCCCAGTCCTACTACACGGTGGCCCATGCCATCTCGGAGAGGGTGGAGAAGCAGTCCGCCCTCCTCATCAATGGGACCCTGAAGCATTATCAGGTAATGGGGGTGGTCTGTGCCCTGCTGGCAAGTCACAGTCTTGCACCTAATTTTCGCCGGAGTGGGTCTTGCACAGGCGCGTGTCGATTGCTTAAGAAGTTTGGTGATGGGGAGGCATTTGGGGTCCCGTTGTTAAGATGATTCTCTTCCGTGGTGCCTCCCATTTTTGTTTCAGAGCACTTCCATTTTACCACCTGACTAGGGCATACCCATTTTATCTTCCATGATTTTCGGGTGAATTGCGTCTTAAGGAATATGGGCTTTAACATTTGGAACGGTTTTCTTGTGGGTCTCTGCACAATGGGAAACCCAGCCACATTCTGTACGTACGGGAACATCTGTGCCTCGTCTTGAAGTAAATGAAGCATTTTTTTCAAAACTTGCATTGGTGGCTAGAGTTTGATGCCATGGATTCAGCTTCTGGGAGCCGCTGTCTACTATATTTATGCTTTTTTTAAGACACCATAAAATGGGGAGCTCTGGTGAAAAGTATACTGTAAACATAACAGACGTTGCATTTGACCTGTTGGAATAAGGTCAGCTCCTGTCTTCTACCTCCTGCCACTTTGGTGTTTCCCAAAGTGTGTTCCTTGGAACATTTGTCTCGGGAGACGTACCTTAAAAAGAAAAAAAAAATGTTCTGTGGTCAAATAAATATGGGCAATACTATCAGCTATAAGAAGGATTATTGCATAATTTAATATCGCAAATTTGGATGCTTAGGAGCGAGTGTAGAAGCCCTTCCTAAAAATACCAGGCATAACCCAGGACTATCCTGAGCCAAGCAGACATATGGGCACCTTGGAAGTGACCCTCCTGGTAAGCCCTGCTGTGCAGGAGCGCATTCACGACTCTGCAAAAATAAACGTGTGACCTATGATTGCACATCAGCATCCTGCAGTGAAATAACTTTAACTTCCTAATCCCCAAATTTCTTTGACCACCAAATTTTATGTTGATATATCCCCTATTAACATGCTATAAAATTAGTGTCTTTTGGAATATACCTCAGGAAGTATTGGTTTAAGTTGTCAGACTTCTTGGACTCGGCTCCTGTAAACTTTTTTTTTAAATTTTTAAAAAAATTTATTTATTTTCAAAAGAGAGAGAGCCCTAGTGGGGGAGGGGCAGAGAGAGCAAGAGAGAGCGAGAGGGAGCGACACGGGATCTGAAGCAGGCTCCAGGCTCTGAGCTCTCAGCAGAAAGCCCGATGAAGGGCTCCAACCCACGAACCATGAGATCATGACCTGAGCTGAAGTCAGACGCTTAACCAACTGAACCACCCAGGCGCCCCTCCCCTAAACTCTTAATACTGGGCACTGTGCTTGCTGCCATTGTCGGGGGTGAAGGTTGCATTGCCCATTGCCACAGTCCCCTTCTCGATTTGAATTAAGGTGCCAGCAGTCTGTACCCACTGCTGCTTTTGCATCACCGGTTCGAGTATCAACCTGATGTAAAAGGTGAATTAGTGATATTGCGAGAATAGTTTTGACCTTGGGGATGCTCTGAAAATCTCCCCAGCAGGAGCCCCTGGAGCACACTTGGAGAACCACTGTTCTGGCTGTAGTAAGGTCATGGTTTCTCCAAAGACCATGCTATTTTCACGAGGTTCCAAGTTGTTTTCATCGTACTTGGCATAGATGTCAACTCAGTTTGTTCTAGTAAACTGTTGTCAGTCTGCACGGAGAAGATGCATACTTTGGAATATTCATAAATCAGTGTTGATGCCACACTGATTTCCTCCCGCCATCCAACACCTTTCTAATCCCCTGACATCACAGTCCTTTCACACCTGCCTCCCCGGTTTCCGGTTGTGCGCTTAATGCCCCTCCTCCTCTCCAGGCCACTGTAGATTTCCTGAGCATGCGCATCAGACCCCTTCCGGGTTTTCGCTCCACGGAGTTGCTTCTCCCAAAGCTGCGGCTCAGCGCCTTCCTGGATCTCTGTCCACGCGTTAGCTTTCTGTCACCTTGCTCCTTGGCACATTTTTTTGTGTCATTAATAGTTCTGTAACCCTGGCACTGTGGATGGGGGTGGAAGGGAGATTCTCCTGCTGCTTCCCGGGAAAGCCGCACAAGTGTGCTTTGCTGCCCGAACCCTCCAGTTCTGCGGTCTAGGGAAATCCAAATCCCTTCCTACAGTTTCATGACTTCCTAGTCTCCTGTGCTGCCCACTCGTGCTCCTGTTTTATCTAGGTTGAACGCAGATGCAAAATTCAGCCCCTTTGCCAGTTTTCGTTAAAAAAAAAAAAAATCCACTAAACCACCGTTCAAATGCTTTTGGCGTTTAGTTGACTTTCCAAAAGGTCTGGTGGTCTCAGGGTCCTCTTGCAGTCATGCAACCCCTCCCACCCGCCACTGTGGTGGCCACTCATTTCCCCCTTTTGCCTTCTCTATCTTTGCCCGTGCCCTCAGAGCCCTCCCTGTGTCTCCCATCTCCTGGTGTTGCTGTCCTGCAAAATCCTGTAGGATGAATTGGGCGTCTTGCATGGTACAAGGTAGCCCAAGTGGCCTATGGAGGTATTTCTGCAGACCTGCTCGATACAATTGCATATATGTGCTAGTACCGTTTTAAGTAAGTTTATAGTATTAATATGTATGCCACGTACTTTCAAGCACTTCTTAGACCATGTGTATGTGTGAATGCCTTTTGTCTCCTCTTGGACTGGAAACTTCTGAAGGGAGGCATGCATCCTCCACACCCCGCATCCGTCTTCTCTACCTCGGTGCATGGTCCTTTGCACAGAACAGTCACTTAATAACTAACGAAAATCGTTGAATTACTCGCTTTGTTCTTACATAAAATAAATTAAAAGGAACATTTCCCTAAGTATAACTTCATCAGCAAGCTAAATTGGTTTCAGCAGATATGCGTATTTATGTATTTGTATATTCACATTTACTTCTGTGTAATATGTAATACACATCTAGGTGAATAGTTCTATGTATTATGTAACATGTAAGTGTGTAACTGTATATCACGTAAATAAATACATTAAATTGCTTCTACCATTGAAATCCAACATGTGTGGGATGGTAGTGGTATTGGTGGTTGGGGGAAGGAAGTGGAGCAGTTCCGTATTTTCACCCAAGCTTTCTTGTAGTTAACACAGGAACCCCAAAGCTGCATCTCTGGTGCAGAGCTCTTGTACTTTAAAAATCTGTGGGACCTGTTTGCAGGTAGTCAGCTTCCAGTGCGCTGCCCATGGGGGGCACCCACATTGCAAAGTGGTGCCTGGGAGCTTTTTCTCCACAAGGAAATGTGCTCCTGTGGACCCAGCAGCGCGCCCCTGGCTCCCCGGTCACCCTGCTTCCTCCCGGAGGGGATCCCGCCCCGGGGGAGTCTCTACGTTGCCAAGAAGGCTGTTTCTAATGATCTCTGATCTGTGTGCCAAACCTGCCTTCTGGTTTGTTTGTCTCTAATCCTCACATTGGCTTTTTGTTCTTGGAGTGGTTGGAATGGATTTTAGTTTGGGTTTTCTTCATTTATAATCACTGTGGAATGTCATATACTGTGAAATGCTAAGTAGGGATGAGCAGGAAAGCTGCTTAAAATCCCACCAGTATGCTGCAGCCCGTCATTTCTAAATCTGATTAACACTTAGCACCTGCCAAGCAGCCGGAATGATTACAGGCTCATATTTTAAATTCTTTTTGTGTTGGTGCTTCCCCCCACTTGCCTACTGTGGGAAATGCAACCTACGGCACCGAGGAGTTAAGAAGTCACAGCCTCACTTGAGTTGTATTAGTATTAATTACCTGTGCAGATCTTGGATAATTGAAGCAATTACTCTTCATTTCAGCTCCAGGGCCTGGAATGGATGGTTTCCCTGTATAATAACAATTTGAACGGGATCTTAGCTGATGAAATGGGGCTAGGAAAGACCATACAGACCATTGCCCTCATCACTTATCTGATGGAGCACAAAAGACTCAATGGCCCCTATCTCATCATTGTTCCCCTTTCGTAAGTAAAGTCATTTATTTCGCACTATCTTTCCCTAGGTTGTAGATTGCCCTCTTAGTAGCTCATCTTTGTTTTTTCATTTAAGGCAGAATTTTAGCAGGTCGTGGGATTACCAAGAGCATCTAATCTGGATTTAGGTTTTCACTGCCCACCCTCCCCCTCAACCCCCAGCCTCTTTGAATGGCTGTTTAAACACAGGACAAAGTGATTTTTATCAGCCATTAGCCCTGTAGTCTACACAGCCTGCACAGGGCACAGTTAGGTCTTATTCATGGTGACACTTTAAGTGACTCCCGAGGTGGAAAGGCTTGGACATATTTTTTTTTTTTAAAGATTTCTTTGATAGCTTTCCCTTGTCTCATTTCCAAAAGGTTGCAGAAATTCAAAAAGTATGTCTTATTCAACCTGTCTTCGCTGTATCTTTTAAAGCAGAAGCTAAATCACAATCGTAACTGAATTTTGCATTAAACTGCCTTTGGTACATGCAGGTTAATTTCAGCCATCAGGATGGGTCTTGCTGTTCTCCATTCAGTTCCCAGAGCCTGGCCCACTGTGCGTCTCCTCGGAGGTCTTTCTCTGCCTCTTCTGAGAGAAGGAATACCTGTTCAGAAGAGCCCCCCTTCCAGAATGGGGTCTCTGGCTGTCGGTGTTAGATTACAGTTTTAGTCCCTGAGATCTTTGTCGATCCCAGTGTTGGTACAGTCTTGGACCTTGAGAAAAAAAGGATTCTGGTTTAGCCTTTGCAAATTCGGTCCAAACAAGGACTATTTGCAAGCCTTCTGAATCTGCATTATCCAAATCCGTGGTATTTAGACATCCTTTGTATTATATCTATGTTTCAAGTATATATTTTGCTCTTTACCTATATTCATGTTTGGACTCCTATATTACGGTGATGTTTTCAGGGATTTAAAAAAAAAAAAGGGCATTCAATGTTTTTCCCTTACTCTATCTTCACATATTTATTTAATATTTTCATGTGCTTTTTATAAAATTTCTTTTTCCTGACTCAACTTTTCTGTGCACTTACATGGCTGCTTCTAAAGAGTCCCCACACATCACTCTGACAATTGCTAAGGTTTTTCTTCCCCCTCTATGTTTATGCATTAATTTTTTTTTTCCTTAGGAGATTTCTTAGGAACACACACACACACTTGTCATGCTTTGGGGCGTCTTATTCTCCACTTATCTCTTACTTCCACACCTTTAAAAGAGATACTTAGTTGAGATAATTTATACTCTCTAGCCCCTTTCAAGGCGAGGCCTGAGCATGAATAAGAACATCTTTTTAACCACTGATTTTTCATACAAATGTCTTTTTCTCTGAATGTTTTCTTTTTTGTTCCATAGGACTCTGTCTAACTGGACATATGAATTTGACAAATGGGCTCCTTCTGTGGTGAAAATTTCTTACAAGGTTTGGAATGCTGTATTTATATATAAATGTGGAGAAGCAAAAAATAGACCCTATTTTTTTTTCTTAGTTCCATATGCACATCTGTGAACTGTATTTGGTTGTAAAGTTTTGTCATGTACATCATGTACCAAACAGTGTGAGTTAATCATCCCAAGAAGATTACTGTAATAAACCATAATTACTTTCAGATAGTGAAATGCAGAAGAAAATTGTTAATTATCATATTGCGAGGTTTCTGATGAGAGTAATACAAATGACAAATATCGCGCATTCCGCGTGCCTCTATGCCCACGGTTCCCGCAAAGTTCGCAATTACCCGGACGCTCGGGCTGCCTGCTGCACGGTCCCATAGAAATGAAGCATTCCAGCAGGGCAGCAGGGTCTCTGCTACCTCGAGGTTGCCATAATTTCCTTTTCTCTCTTTCCCCACCCTCAGTTTTCACTGGGAAAGCCTGTCTGTAAGGGTCTGAAAACTGTCCAGATGTGTGCGATTTTGCCAAGCACTTCCTTCCTGGATAATGGATCTGTATATGATAATGCATATATGTGCAATTCTCAGTCACGTGTCTGGGCTCCATTAAGCCATGAATAGTGAGACAAAATGCTCACATTACTTCCATTGGGATATATATATATATATATATGTATATATGTATGTATTTCTTTCCATTCAGGGCACCCCTGCCATGCGTCGTTCCCTTGTCCCCCAGCTGCGGAGTGGCAAATTCAACGTCCTCTTGACTACTTATGAGTACATTATCAAAGACAAGCACATTCTTGCAAAGGTATGTTTGAAAAAAAAATTCTTTTACCTCTAATTATGGACCATTGCACTGGAGCGTAAAGTATTCCCCAAATTATACTCGCTACTATAATTTGATCATTAGATGGCTTCTCTCCCTTCCCCTTGCCCTCTCCCTCTCACTGTCTCCCTCCCTTCCTCTCTCTCTCTCTCTCTCTCTCGCTTTCGCTCACTTGCAGAGTCAGATATATTTTGGTCTTGGGTTTTAATTTTATGCATGCTTTTTTTTTTGGCATATGTCATTGATTCTGCTTCTCTTACCTAGCCTCTCATAGTTAATGAGTTTACATCTCTTAAGAAATTCACCTGGGCTCCCTCTGCAACTCTTTTTCTCTCCAGTGGCCCTGAACCTGCTTGTGGAAGAAATAATTGTTTTTGCTGCCCTGGGTTATTGTCAGCCGCGTGACTTCATTCCTCTGGTGCCTTTGTCTCTCCAAAGATGAGTGGGCACCTCTCCATACAAACATTCATCCAGGCTGGGGCTTTGGTGCTATTCCTGTGTTAGGTTTTCCTGGTAAAATAATGGGCTATTGTTTGAATTACTCTGGGCTGTTTCTCTATTTACTTGAAGCTGAGAGAGGCTTGTTTTTCCACCTGCAACCTTCATGGCTCTTAATTTGTACGTCCTAAGTTGTCCTTTAGCCATAAAATAGAAAAGTGTTTTTCACTTGTATCACCTTGCCTCCTGATGCGTTCTTGCCGAATGACAGAAATACATTGGTTCATGGGAGCAACTATGAAAAGTTCCTTTTGGTTTCCCCTTTGGTAATTTCTTTTTCCCCCACGGTGCTACCGAAGTGCTATAATCTGAAACTAAGTTATGGCCAGAACTGAACGGAATCCCTGTTTCTTGGACCTGTTCTTTCTCTGCCTTAAACCTGTGCTCTGGGAACGGAGTGCTCCCTTCGTGGCATCACAGGCAGTAACATACAGGAAGTGTGCTCCCAGGGGGGTTTAATAATTGAGATGACAGTGGCAATAGTGCTGTGTTCCTGCTCCTCCGGCTCAGAGATGAATTTGACATTGAACATGTCAAAAATGACATGTTTTCAATATTACTGCGGGAATGTGTTTGCACATTTGAGATTCTTTAGAAAAAAAAAAAAACACCCTATCACATCTTCTGCGTATGTATTTCAGAATTCATCAGAGATGCCTGATAATGAGATGAATTGCTTTTATTTGTTACTGAGGCTATAGAAAGGGATAGTAATATTTTGCCCAAGCAGAAGACCTAATTGGTAAATTAGCAAATTAGCAAAATCAGCGTCCCCTGATTCCTTGTTTGTTAGGTCATAAGCTAAATTAGGAAATTAGATTAGAATGCTTACTTGAATACATTTTTATCTGCTGGCCTCTTTTCATGCTGTCGGTAAGCTTGGGACAGTTGTCCATACAGCTTGGTTCTTAAATGCTTTTCTTAGAAATGGTGAAAGAAGAGTAAACAACACCAAACTCTGGTAGTTTCTTTTACCCGAACGTCCCAACCTGGCGGATGATTTTATTTCTTTTCCCCCGATTTTACCGTCACTTCTCATGAGGAAGGCAGGAACCACCTAAAATACTTTGCTAGTCTCCCTCCTCTCTCTGGGAGCTTTGCAGCAGGATCCAGGGACATCTGAGCACCGGATGCTTTTCTTGGCCATTTCCACTGTTTTGTAGGGAATGAATAGGCTTAGTGGCACATTCCTTATTGTTCTCACTTAAAGAAACTGAGACCAGTGACCTTGAAGAGGGCTGAAGGGTAAGTTATGAGAGAGGAAGGGGCCAGTGTCTAGTAGACTTAGGAGGGAAGATTGTGTCATATGGCCATTCTTTATTTTTAAAGCAGTAGTCATGCTGGGAAAGAAGATTGTGTTTAATTCCGAAGTTCTGGCACAAATAGAGGGATGATATTTTAGCATTGTCTTCAGTGCTAGTGAGTATGTCCTTTCATTTTAGCTATCTCAAAAGAGTGATCCTAGATCTGGCAGGTAAGGAATTTGTCTGAACTGACAGACTCCAAGTTGCCAGATCTTCTTTTTTAAGAGAAGCTGGATGTCCAGATTTTTATGTGAAATAATTCCAACTTTTAAATGTTAGCAACTCATTCAAATTAAAAAGAAAAAAGAACACTGAGCTGAGCCAAGCCCCAAAGGTACTAGTCAGCCAATATAATAATAGAAACGAAGGCATGAAGCCGGAAGAGCTCAGCTCTAAGTACCTGCTGACGCCACCTTGGAAAACCAGTCAGTAATCTCTGCTTTAAGTGGAGAGCTCTATTCTGTACTTTCTAGGAGCAGAGGCAGCATGAACACTAAATCTGAGATAGCATCAATAGGAGGGGTGTTGGGGGGCGAGACACAGGAGCTAGTCCTGGCCCGACCACTTCATTCTGGGCTAAGTTCCCTTCTTTGGGAAGGGCGGTTTGGAATCACATGGCCCCTATGCAGCATTGTGGCTTTGACGTTCCATCATCACATGACGTCTTACGTGATCCATCAGGTATGGGAAATAGACTGTTGAGATTCTTTTATCCTAGGGGGAATCACACTGTATTATGCACAAAGTATGAATTCTTTGGTTTTCCTCACCACTGCCTTCCTGTGGTATTTTCCCTAGCTCACCACATGTTGGTCCTTCCTCATGTGTTGCAGATTCGGTGGAAATACATGATAGTGGATGAAGGCCACCGAATGAAGAATCACCACTGCAAGCTGACTCAGGTCTTGAACACTCACTATGTGGCCCCCAGAAGGATCCTGTTGACCGGGACCCCACTGCAGAATAAGCTCCCGGAACTCTGGGCCCTCCTTAACTTCCTCCTCCCCACGATTTTTAAGAGCTGCAGCACGTTTGAACAGTGGTTTAATGCTCCATTTGCCATGACTGGAGAAAGGGTACTGGTCTAACTTTTGTATTTTCCACGTATGGGAATGAAATGAACATAAGGAACCCAAAGCCAAGAATGTTAGCGCCACAGAAAGCCCGTAGGGTGGTTTACAGTGTTGCTTACTTTACAGAGCTAATCAGTGGATGCATATGTTCTCTTTCCAGGGTTATTTTCTGTCCTAAGAAAATGGTCTAGGATCCTAGAATCTAGGTCCTTGGTCTTTTGCCAACATGTTAAGTAGGCCAGCAGAGAATGTTCCTGACTGTTGGAATGTTTATCTACAAGGGCCACAGGGAGGATGAATGGGAGATATTTGTTGAATCAGTTTAACCAGATCAACCGAACCAATTGAGCACAAACCTTAAAACAGATATTTCCTTGTTGTAAACTTGGGCTTCTCGTCAAACTATATCCCCCTGAAGAATTTGTGTGTAAAACTGAGCTAGTCCACACTAATTCTCTGTACACATTTTTTTTTCCGGCTTTTGTGTGAGCCTCAGTTTTGTGTCTATATAAATGCTCCTCAGATCCCGGAGCAGCCATTTTCACATTCCTTATTTTCATTCCTTCCACCATCAATTTTTGTCTTGGAGCTCATTTCTGAAAGGAAGACATGGGCCATTGCAAGAAAAGAAATGGGTACCTGTCCTTTTGATTAGCGGTTTCTTAACTGTGGGATTGAAAAGCCACTTAGAAAGCTGTCGAAACATTTATGTTGGAACTCTTCAGCCCTTGAATCTCGAAGTACGTTATAGGGATCTTTGCCCTTTGTCAGAAATTCAGTGGCTTGCCCGCGTGTAGAAAGCAACGCCAATGAAATCTGCCCCCTAGAGGTCCATAGAGGAAGGTGACACAGAGGTTCTAGACGAGGTTATGTATACAGAGGGTGGAACGAGATGAGGGCAGAGGAAAGGAAGAGTGAGGTAGAGAGGCTTGGAAGCTCACCAACACAAACTAGATCTGCTCTCTTTTTCTTTCCATGTTCAGGCCACATGGCCTTGGTGTGTTTCTGCATCGGAGACAATCCAAGTTAAGAGCCTAGCTTAACGCTTCAGCTTCGAGTGAGAACACACGAACTCTTGCCCCTTCCCTCGGGTTCTGTCTCAGTCTTCAGTAAGGCTTTGTTGCAATCCTATCCAAAAGATTCTCAACTGGGAAGCTGGGGGCTCTGGCCCCTTTTCCATGGAACTGCACATTAAGAGAGAGACACCCATTTAGAGTCCATTTTATTACCACCTGGCACGTGGGAAGAGAATTCAGAGGTAATGAATGACCTGGCCTTCGTGCTGCACATACAATTTCAGTCGTGCATTGCAACAAATAAGAAAGGTAGCCTAAAGTGTTATTAAGTGAAACATCATTAAAAAAAAAAATGTCCGACTCACCTGAGGTTCTCTTGTAGGTGGACTTGAATGAAGAAGAAACTATATTGATCATCAGGCGCCTGCACAAGGTGTTGAGACCATTTTTATTGAGGAGGCTGAAGAAAGAAGTTGAATCCCAGCTGCCAGAAAAAGTATGTTGCAAAATCAAAAAAATGGTGGCTTCTCTCTGCACCTTCAATTGTGTTTCTGTAACAGCAGGCTTGTGTTTGAGTCACAGGTGGTGTCGCGGAAATAGCGTGATGTCCTTTTTTTGTTTGATAGAAGCTAGAGATTTTAGGGTAGGGAGAGAAGGGAAATTTTGGTGTCTCCAGCCCGGTTTCCTAAGGCTCTGGGGCAGATTTTATAAAATTAGCAAATTCATAGAGTCTGCCTACATCTTAGCTTTAACTTACCTTCCCTTAACCTTGTGTTCGTTTAATGTTATACTGTAACTTTAAGGTGTTGGTTTTTTTTTTTTTTAAGTTATTGGCCTCATTGAGTTTACTCTTGCAGGAGCCACAGAATTGATGTGCTGGTGAGTCAAACCAGGACATGAGTTTGGGGCTTGAATCATCAGCAAAAGGCCTACTAGACATTTGCCAGGTTTCCTAGAAATCTATTGAATGCTTGTGATGCTTGTGATGCCACTGTTCTGATAGTAAGTGAAAAACAAGAGTTCCTGCAAATTATAGACACATCATCTAATTATTCTTGGACAGGGATTTTGTCCTGCACCATAAAAAGTAACCTCCTGTGAACCTTTTAGGCAGGTATTTATCAGGACTTTTCAGTGCCTTAGAATGTCTATTGAGCCCTTCCCTGCACATTTTTTGGTTTGACCTGGGTATTAGTTTAATATGTTTCTGATCCTATTTTGGAAGCACACACTTCTGAGTTCTAAATTATATTGTCTTAAAGATAGATTGTTTGACATTGTATATGACTTGTATGAGATACTTGGATTTGAGTTTTCTCCATAGATGAGCCAGTTCAGAAATGTATATTTTGCATCATTGTGTTTTTCTGTGTAAGGGCTCTATTTTTTTGGACAGATTGGCTCATCCTGTTCATTTTTTTAAGTGGGAGTTGACAGGGTAGTATACAAAGCTGATCTCTTTATTAAGACCGAATTCTGTTCCTAATTTCCCTACTCATTAACAGTCAGGAAAAAGAATTAAAAATAAATACAGTCCTTATATCATTCTTATCCCAGCAGAAGACTAAATAAGTATTTTATTTTGCTAGTGAATGGATCCTGGGGATTGAATGTGGTTGATATTTCTTTGACTTCCTGTGGTCTTGGTGTCTTTGGGTAATCCCCTTACTGGACCGTACTTCTTGAATAAACTGGGGCATGGGTCCATTGGTCAGTGGCCCCCTCTAACTACTTGTCATTATACTGTTACTGAGATCCTGAAAGGTATAGAAGTGGATGTTAATAATTTTAACGTATCCTATACTTCTTTTGTTTCGTTAGAAGTATAAAATAAAAGGTAACTAACCGAAGTCCTTCATTTATTCGTTTCATAATACTTGTTAATTTTGTTTACTTACTTCCAGGACTGGGTAATATAGACAGATTTTTAAAAACACATCACATGGGGTACATGGCTGGCTCAGTTGGTGGAGCATCCAACTTCAGCTCAGGTCATGATCTCACAGTTTGTGAGGTTTGTGGGGTTCGAGCCCCACACTAGGCTCTGCACTGACATTGGGATTCTCTGTTTCCCTCTCTTCTGCCCCTCCTCCGCTCGCTCTCTGTCTCCCAAAATAAATAAATAAACTTATAAAAAAAAATCTTAAAAAAGAACACATCACAAGCTGGAAGTATGCCCTGTTTTAAGAAAATCCATTATATAAGGCGCCTGGGTGGTTCACTCAGTTAAGCATCCAACTGTTGTTCGGCTCAGGTCACGATCTCACGGCTGTGGGATCGAGCCCTGTGCTGGGCTCTGCACTGAGCATGGAGGCTGCTTCATATTCTTTCTCTCTCTCCCTTTGCCCCTCTCCCCTACATGTGCATTCTCTTTGTCTCTCTCTGTCTCACTCTCTCTCTCTCCCTCTCGCTCTAAAAATAAGTAAATAAACATTAAAAAGAAAAGAAAACCCATTATATAAAACTCCCAGCTTGCCCAGAATAAGGGTTATGGGGTGATCAGTTTGTGTCACAGAGGAATTCTTTGCTTTACTAAACTACTTTTTTTCACTGTTCCTTTCACAAGAGAGCTTCCTGAGTATGGATAAACTTAAAAAAAATTAGGATTCGATTTTCGAGAGCATGTCTTCTGCATAAACTACACTTTATATTCTTTAATACCCAGAGTATTATTTGAGGTATGGTACATGCCCTGTATGTGGTATATTATCTGTGGATAAGCTGCCTTTTGTGGAGGCAGCTCGTGGAGTAGGAATAACGGGCCCTGCCTGCCGGAGCGGACATGGGTCCCCCACTGCCTGTCTCTTACTAACCGTGTGGCGTTGGTCAGTTAATCCAGTGAGTCTCAGTGCTCCTCTCAGTGAACTGGAAAATAAATAATACCTGCCTTCCTACAGTCGTTGAGAGGATTCATGGAGGTGGCACTTCTAAGTCTCAGCCTGGCATGCGATACACCCTGGACCAGTGACAGTTGCTGCTGCCATGTTCCTTACTGTCTACACGTGTTGCTCTGTCTGCTGCTGACTTGAAGTTCTCCTTTGTGTTCACCTCAAGTTCTTTGTCACCTTCTGCTCCTCCTTGCTTTTTCTGGGGCCCTCCCCCATTCTGTGCCCATAAACCTTTCCAGGTGAGTAGGGAGCTAATCACACTGCTTGTGCATGTAGCTGTCGATGTGGTTTGGCCTGTGTTCCTTCTCTTCTTTTTTTGTCTTGTTAGGCTTTTTTACCTGAGGGAAGTTGGTTGGCCATTAAAGTGGCATCCTGGGGCGATAAGGAGCTTCCTTCTGCCCCCATCTGCTTACAGATGGTGTGTACACACACACACACATACACACACACACACACGTGTGTTACATACATTTGTGTTTATATTACATATACATATTACAGGTGTAATATAGCATACACCAACATAGAAATGGTGTCATGTACATGTATGTATATTTATTACATACACGTGTGTATTACATATATATGTATGTTTATTGCACGCATGTGTGTATATATTACATACACATATTACAGGCGTAATATATCATATACCAACATATAGATGGTATCATATACATAGACACGTGTGTATATTACATACATAGTGTATATATTACATATACATATCACAGGTATAATATATGCCAACATATAGATAATATCACATACATAAACATAGATGTATACGTATTACATACACTTGTATTTTACGTATACATATTACAGATGTGATATGTGTAAACATACAGATGATAAGATGTACACACACGTGTATATATTATATATACCTATTACAGGTGTGATAAATCAGACACCACAAACAACGTGTATGTCTTTCTCAGCCTGTATAAAGAACTGGATAGGAATTATGGCTGATGGTAGGAAAAGGCTACATATTCCATAGTAAGAATTCTCAAATGCTCTCATGAAACGCAACCAGTTAGGAAAGTGTTTTTTCATTTTATTTCTAACTTTACATATGATAAAATCTAGTCTCTCGGGTATACAGCTCTGTGGGCTTCGACAAATGCATAATCCTGTTAATCGTACCCACAGTCAAAATACAGAATGTTTCTACCTCCCAGACCCCCC